CAGCTGTGTACGTTGTTGAAGAAGACGATCCTGTCCCTCCACCAAGCATCAAACAAGCACTTGATGCAGCGAAACTATTAAAAAAATACTTTTTATATAATCAAATTGATCCAGCAGTATCTCAAGATATGAGTAAGATACGTAACAAAATACAATCAAAATATTGGAGCAGCAAAAAACATCAGACGAAGATAACAGGCCATACGCAATGTATGAATAATAATGTTCCTGTGCCAAAATGTGTACTATATTGCTAAATGCATATTATTATAAAATAGTAAAATAATATCTTTTATTTCTCTCCATTTAACGACCACTCTTTATAATGCCGAAAAATACTCAGTCCCTTAAGTGTCGTTATATAGAGTTTACACTGTATTTTATTTCTTTCAAGTATCTTGAACTATTGGTTTTTTTATAAGTCATGTCAGGCTCGCATGTATTACAGAAAATTTCAACATTTCAGACAATTATTATAAGTATTAGATTAAATGAACAAATGAACAAGACCAAGACTAACATTTGAGTAAGGCCAAGACCCAATAAAGAAAACCAAGACCAATCCCAAGACAGGCACTTGGTGTTGGTCTTGCTTTCTTGCTTTGCTCATCATTAGATGCGGCAAAACCAACCCCCGAATGTCCATGTGAATGCCCTCAAGTTTTTTATTGACTAGCACAACAAATAGTCAACGTCGGTATCACCGGTTTTACTAAAACCAAAACAAAACCGCTAATACAAAGACCGTTAATTTGAAATTTGAGTAATTGCATTATTGTATTGTAAAAGTCGTTTTGCAAAACAAATTTCCACATACTTTGTTAATTTTTCTCGCTCACGTAGTATTAACGTTAATGTTTGCAAAAGTCAATTAAACGCTGTAGTTTTCCTTAACCACATAGACCGCATTTATGATTTGTTTGGTTTTCTCGCCTCTCGAGTGGCACATAAATGCAACCCACACAAATTAATTCGAAAAACTAAATCAATTATACACTTCATCATTTACTTGGAAACAAAAATGTGTTATATATACAAACGAGTGCATTATATTATCATAAATGCATGTAAATAAATTATAACAGATCGATTCTTAAATCAGAAACTGAATAATTTATTCTGGTACAGTTCACTTTCTCTTACTTCTGATGGAGAAATGTAACACACTCTATTTATTATTACTATAACCTTCGTAGTTATGAAACTATAATAAGCAGTAATTAAAGGTAATGGTGGCGATACTAATTTAAGTATAATTTACATTTTACTCACTAAAAACGTTAACTAAATAATACCAATTGGATTATTTTATAATACAGTGATAACTAAATTTAGCAGTTAGTACGTACTTTAAAACTGATTCAAACGTTTTGGTGTTAGTTGGCATTATTGGAAATCCGGAAGCTCACCCTATCGAAGAAGGCAGGCACTTTGGAGGTTCATCATCAACTGATTCTATTAAAACGGCAGGAGGGTTATTTGGTTCAAATAGCGACGGAAGAACCATGGAAGCTGAGAAAGCGCCGATAACACCAAGTCCCCCTAGTAGTACAGTACCCAGTCTCCCTCCTACAACTCCGAAACCATTATCTGAAGGTAATTCCTTCTGATTTTGAAACTTAATTTTTCTGATCGTATTGTTCCCTGCAGTTACAGTACCTCGAACCATACAGTCTCAGTTTAAAATTGACAACCTCCAATACGAACCTGAATTGGGCAACAAAAACAGTTCAGAATTCAAGGAATTAGCAGAAGCCATAGAGGAAGAACTGAAATCAATTTTATTTAGCAGAGATGTTTTAAATTACGGATCGGCAGAAATTCAGCTCAAAGTTCTCGAATTTTCGTAAGCATTAAATAAAAAAGTTTATCGCATTGTTGGTTACACTTTATTTTATTTGTTCTACTAGACCTGGAAGTGTAGTGGTCAAATTTAGGGTCGGTTGGGTTATGAAGGATGGCGTTCACAATGCAAAAGATCCAATTGACAGGGATGCCTTAGAAAAAAAACTCCGGGACGCTTTGGCTTACAACCACGGTTACATTGCAAACTACCGTATAGCAGATGATAGTGTAACTGTTGAAACAGTAATAGATTTATGTAAAACGAACAACAATAACGGCTGTGAATATAACTGTTCCTTTAGTTATAAGATCGAGGACTTCATATGCGAATGTCCCGAAGGAGAATATATTCAAGAAGACGGGAAGAAGTGTGGACAGCAACATCACTTAACTACGGAACATATTGATCATAATCATGGATTTGAACATTCGAATGAAGGAGATGATAAAGAACATGAACAAGTTGCAGCTACGTTTGAAACATCTTCGGTCCCTCATACTGAAAAAGAAGTTAAAGCGGAAACTACTGTGAGTCCCGCTACGCAACCATATGCTACTTCTTCTCATGAACCTGAAGGTGTAAGTGAGGAACATGAACACCAGGAAGAACATGAACAGCATGAACATGTTACACCAATAATTACGCTAATATCAACTCAAACTCATACAACGATCCAAGAACCTGTTCAAGAAACTTCAGCCCATGAAGATGACAATATTCAAGAAGAATATCACCCTCTTCAGTTGCCTGTAACAACAACTACAACTACTGAAACACCTGTAACATACGGAAACGTAAATGAGGTCATTCCACTTTCTACCGAAAAGGATCTGAAGGAAGAGGAAGAACAATCGACTGAAATCAAAGATGTGAACGAACCCGAACAAGCAACAACCGGACTCGTTGACAGCCATTCTCATTCTGAGGAAGATACTGGACTCCAAACATCGGTTCACGTCATCACCACAACAGCACAATCTATTTCTGAAACTACTACACATTCGCAATCTCCAATGTATTGGGAAAACGAAACGAACCAACCTATTCAAGAAACAAGTTTACCTAGCAGAACGGAATCTGTCAATGAACATCAAGAAGAAGAAGAACAAGAGGAAGAAAATACTTCTACTCATGTACTTTATACCACTTCTACGCCGATACACGAAGAATCAGAAGAGGAGGAAGAAAAACATGTGGCAACTGAAGTTCATTTACCAGTTGCAAATGAATCTTATAGTTCAGAAAGAACTGAGCCCGCAAACGTATCTCATGCTTTAGAAGAAACCGAATCCGCAGTTGAAACAACAACGGAACCCAGAATACAAACCCCTAAACCTTTTGAAACGGAAGAGTCAGAACACGGAAATAATGAGACTTCAGTATCTCACGCGACTTCTTTTGAACAAATAACAACAGCGTCATCGGTTGCCGAATCGGTCACAGTTAATCCCACGACAACAGAAAACTTGATCTCCATACATTCTTCCTTGCCTCATCAACTAATTGAAAATTATACAACTACGAGCCCAGTAGTTACAGTTTCTGAAAGTGTTAGCGTAACAAACACTTATAACGAAATGGATAATGCATCAGATTCCGATAGACAACCTAAATTTGATATCACTTTAGGACATACTCCAGTTGAACCCGAAATGGAATATCATACCCATGATCATGAAGATGAAGATGAAAGAGAAACCATACCCTTTATGCATCAAGAGGTACAGCTTGTTACTACCGACAGGATAAAAACTGAAGAGGCTACGATCAGCAGTGTGGAAGAACAAAGCAGTCATACCGAAAATTCGTCGTTACCATTTGGTTTAGTGCATAAAGAGGAAAACAATTCAATGATGGCAATCAACGAAACCGATGGGGTATTAACCACCACTTTCACTCCATACACTAGTGAGGAAAGCCTTTTTGTACACCATACTTCTCCCCCTTCATTTCTCGAAAGTAGCGAAGAAGAAGACGAAACACAAAGTACATTAATGGAGGACTCTAATGAATCTTCTTCAACTGCTCTTTCAGCTAGTTCAGAAGAAATGAAGGTCGAGCCTACTCAAACGACGACAAGCAGCGAAATGGAATTAACAAGCTTCCAAGAAACATCTACGTCGACGGAGTATACATTCTCAGGAAGAAGTTTTGAGTCAAATCATCCCGCTTTGTTTGCAAATGATCATAACAACGTGACATACTTAGAAGATAATTCAACAATGTCAAAACAGATCAATATAAACGAAACGTTACATAGACCACTCTCTACATTTGAAAATGATAATCTAAATGGTGAGGATGAGCGACAAGAATTCACAACATCTACTGTTGCTCCTCGTTTGGATAATGATGAAAAAAATGTCACGAATCCCCTTGATCCTAACGTTACTGATGTCGCATTAGGGGTATTACCATTAGAAGAAGATAAATCGGGTCGTTCACAAAATTCATCTAGAAGTACTGATAACACAGAAATTAACACTACAACCAATACGAATGAGACTGAAAATACGTCAGTGCCTGAAATGATCGCAGACGATCACAATACCATTAGTTCAACTACGTACTCAATAGCCGCGGTTGAAAATTCGACACAAGAATCCACAAATAATACATCACCAACAGAAAAACCACTGAATGATACTGACATTGAAGTTCACAAATGGGAAGATACTACAACTACCGTTTCAAATGTGTCAGAGGAGTATAACCAGAAGAACGAGTCTTCCACGGTATCATTTGAGAATTTAACCACAGAAAATGATATTAATGATGAGGAACAAAGTACTTCTTTATCATTATTTAATGCGGTAGAACCAATTACACTTAAATATGAGCAATCCACAAATCTGAGCAGCAACGAGAACGCTGTAAATGAGTCCGCAGCAGAACCATCACATTTAATGGAAACTTCAAACGGTACCAATGAAAACAATGACACCACAATATCTCAACTTGAAAGTTACGTTAATGGAACGAACGAAATCCATACGAACAATGCTACCTCAAATTCTGATGAAGATCTCATTGCAATGGAAACCACCACAACTTCTTTACAAAAACCTAAGATGTTTTCGAATGTTCCTGTTGAAGAAAGCACAATGAATAATAACGAAACTGTAGCAAATTATTCCTCAATCTCAGAAGCACCTGACTCTAGTAAAACAATTCCGGAACCGAAAGAGAACGAAACCAGCACAGAAAGTCATTCCTTCGGAGATGATATGTTGATTACCACTGCTAGTCATAACGAAACAAGTCACTTATACGAAGTTCACGAGGTCACTGATGACATAACGACACCAACTCCCACAAGAACGTTCAATTATAGTCCTTTGCCTGTTATACCCCTTACGGATTCGGAGCCCATTGAGAATGAGAAAATAAACATTGAATCTGATAATTTGTACAGTAGCAACTTAAATGATATATCAGATGAAAAGGAAAAATATTCAAGTAAATACTACTATAGCGACAAGAAAAAGGAATTCTCGAAAACAGTGGACGCTCCAACTACCGAAAGCATCCAAGGTAGTAATAATACAGACCAGGAAGAAGACCATCTCATTGCCACAGACTTCGTAAGCCATATCACTATCACTGACAAACCGAACAACGCTACTATTGCACCAATTAATAATTTATCATCAACTCAGACAACAAATACTATCATTGAGTCAACGGAACCAGTTTATAATGTGACATCTGAAGTTAAACCTGTTGTAGAAGGATACACGTTGAGTAGTTTCTCAAGATGTTCCGCTGGACAATTCCAGTGTGTCAATGGAACATCGACCAAAGGAGGAAGCTACTGTGTCAGCAACAGTGACCGGTGCGACTCAGTAAAGGATTGTACCGATGGATCTGACGAAGTTGGTTGCGACCAAGAAAATTGCAAAGACAATTTCCAAGTATGTACTATAATATTAGAAAAGTAGGCGCCAAAGGAATTACTTATTCATGTTTTAATTTTTCAGTGTAAAAGCGGACAGTGCTTGAAGAGGCATCTCGTCTGTGACGGTATTTTCAATTGTGACGACAATAGCGATGAAGAAAACTGTGGTAAGTTACATTTACATAGACAGACAACATCTAAGCACATTTGCTGATTTACACGAACCACTTCAAGCATTTCTTTCCATTCTCTTAATTATCCTCTTTAGTTGTTATGTAATTTTTTTCTTGTGATTAATTTCACATTCAATACAATTTAGAATCTTGGAAATGCAACTTTGATGAATTATCCTGCGGGGACGGTAAACGATGTATCCCACTTTCATGGAAATGTGACGGTAAATCCCATTGCTTTGACGGCAGAGATGAACAAAACTGTCATTCTCAACCTTGTGAAAGCAACCATTTCTACTGTTCCGAACAGGATTCGTGTATTCCTGCTTCTTGGAGATGCGATGGTGTCGATGATTGTAAGAGTGGAGAAGACGAAAAACTGTGTGGTGGGTGAAATTCGTAAAATTCCCGTCATAACTGCATATTTAATCGAAACTTTTTTAGAATGTGGTATTGACCAATTTAAATGTCAAACCGGAGGAGGATGTATCCAAGCCGAAAATAGATGTGATGGAATTGAGCAATGCCCAGATCTTTCCGACGAATGGAATTGTCTACGCCTTAGGGAAACTAATGACACCTCTTCATACCTTGAGGTAAACATTAGTTTTTCTGACCGGAATCTTAATTTTCTTTATGGATTGTTATTAACCTAATGATGATTCTAGGCTTTAGTTTCGAACAATTCATGGCAACCAATTTGTGCAGACTTCTGGAACACTACGTATTCCGATTTGGCATGCCAAAGTATGGGCTATGCGAAAGCTACATCTACAAACTATAAATTACTTGAAAAGAGCTCTTCAGGCTCACAATTTCTAAAATTAAATCCTTCCGAACGCTATGGAGCGTCACTTTCAGCTCAACTTATAAAGACTGATTCATGTGATAATGTAGTTACTTTAACTTGTCAAGAGAATGGTAAGCGTCTGAAAAATTTGACTCAAAATTAAACATCTCATGAACCTTTTTGGTTTTAGTGTGTGGAAACAATAATGGTTTAGATACTAGTTCCTTTGGTAGCAAAAACGAAAATGGTAATGAAAAAGGATGGCCTAGTATTGCTCTTCTTTTCAACAGAAGATACCAAATTCAGTGTACTGCAAATATTGTTACACCAAATTGGGTAATAGCCAGTTATGCTTGTTTGTACAGTGTATCTGGGCAACCACCTAGTTCAAACCCTTACGACTGGGAACTCCTTGCAGGAGGAAATCATTTCTTTGATTCCTCTGCCGAAAACTCTAGCATTCAATCACTCTCCGTTAAGAACATTATTCCCTATCCACAGGTACGAATTTTATAATTTCTGTAATTTAATACGTTGGATCTTTACTGGGGAACTTTTTAGGCGAAATATTCACAATTCATATATCGGAACAATATTGCTTTGGTGCAGCTGATGAAACCCTTAGATTTTGAGAAAAACATTTCTGCTGTATGCCTTCCTCCTCAGAATGAGGAACCAAATCAGTATTGTATAACAGTCGGGTGGAGCATGAAGAAACCGGGAGGTAATAGTTATTAATATATTTAGATGTTTTTTACCTAATTTTATTTAATAATGTTCTACTAATTCATTTCAGAATCTTCGTTGAAAGAGTACTTACGTTATTTGCCAGATTTGAATCAGAACAAAAGGGACTGCAATTCTTCGGATCATTACAATGGTCGCTTTACAACAGATTTGTTATGCGTTGATCATCTTACAACGGATGAACCTTGTGAGGTAAATATAACGTATCAGGCGTTTTGATCCCCCGACAAAATGTCCCCGGACAAAATATCCCTGACAAAATATCCCTGGACAAAATATCCCCGTGACAAAATATCTCCAGACTAAATATCACAGAACAAAATAAATTATCGAACCGATACTCCAATAAATAATATGAAATTCATATGCATCANCTAATATGTAAGTACAAGAAAGAATATTTTAAAGATATTCTTTTCGCATGGTAATTGGTTCGTTTTTATTCATCAGAAAGGGCGTCAACATAATTTTATTTTAACGGATTATTATACAGCCTCTGGAGGTTCATTGTAAATATTAGCGAAATTATTTTTGAAATCAGATGAGTAGGTTTGAAATACATTCACATTTTCAGCAGTAAATAATCACAGGTCAACACGAATTTTGTCTTTGATAAGAGGGTATGAAATATGGATAGATTTATCGATAGTTGGACGAAAAAAAAATGTATGGCCTAAAAAAGTTTGCTTTTGAATCCAGGGCGCAGTTGATTAATATTTTAGAAAATCTATGGTTTAAATTTTTATTTATCGATAAATTGAAACAAATATATTTATATATAAGTTTTTATCAACTTTTATTTACTGTCATATTAAATTACAAAATAGGGGGAAAAAGTTTAAAAGTGAACCCTATTACTTTTTCTTTCATGTTTATAACTATTTTCTCCCACTAAAATCCAAATGTAGTCCCCTATCATATTCTCGCTGTATTGACCTTAATAACGTTATTCGAAAGCCGTAATATCTTGATAAAAACGTTGTCCTTGTTCTTTTGAATACGCCCCCATGTTCAAAATTATCTAAATCAGCATGCAGCATACCTATGTACTTTTAGAGACATCCTGCAACCCATGGTTTTAACGTCTTCTATTAAGTTATCAACTAGTTCTCGGTAATTTTCAACTTTGTTATTCCCTAAAAATCCAGAAACTACTCCTTTAAAACTATTCTAACTTTTTTGGTGAGCACTTTTTAACTTATGAATCAACAAAAATTCCAGCTTTTGACACCTAACATACCCATGTAAGGCCTTCAAAGTACATTACGAGAAAATATTAAAATTAATTAGTTAATGAGATAATTAATTTAATACAAACGATAAAAGTTCTGTAGCACGGCTTTTTCGAAAATTGATCGTCGTACTGTGGCAATCAATATTTAGAGTCTCGGCTATGAGAGGGGCTAGGAAATGTTCCCCGGGGGGGTGATGAACACTTTTACCCACCATAGTTGAACCTACCCTACGTAACGCAACCCAAACTAACAAATAATTAGTAGGTAAAAATTCCTGCCTCCCCTCTCTGTAGAACTTTTCCTACTATCTCTTATAGGTGAGACTCGATAGTACTGGTTACCGTAGTTGTTGGGGGGGGGGAGATGCTTTAAATAGTCTTTATTGTAAATATAAATATTTTATATCTCCGTAACTTCTGCGAGTCCAACAGCCATCTAACAGCGCTGATCGTAAAACTACAGCAAGATCCCTGATGAGAGAGGGAAATTTTTACCAACTTTAGCCTAAACGATCCTACACAACCTAACACAAACTAGCGTAAACTAATGTAACCTAAACTATGGTAGTAATTAATAATAATAATGACCTACATTAGTTTATGATAGATAAAAGTTCTCTCCTTCTCTGGAGGCATTTTTGCCATTGTTTTCTAGTGACTGTCAAGCTCGCAGAGGCTACTTATAAGGTATTTATTTATCAGCACAATATTTAAAGCACCTTCCTCGGATTTATTCTCATATTTTTTTAAAAGTGGGTTATTTTAACCCATTTCCAAAAAAAGAGCAGTGAAGTTTTGGAATAAGCCATGACACGAAATTTTCAATTTTAAAGTACATGTTGAGGTCTTATAAAAATTTCACAAAACTTGCCAAATGTCATCTAACCAGCTGTCAATTTTGATAAGAATTTTAAAATTTGGTTCATCTGAAAATGAAGAAATTAATATTCGTGTAAGTACGCATACATTGCAAATTCATTTTTAACAATTACTACATCAATATTTATTTATCATGTTGAAAGTAAGTACTAGATTTATTCAAAAGAACATCTCATTCATTCTTATTCATTTAGCACGTTATTCCATTTCTAATTACCGGAATAATAAGAAGACCAAATGAAACGGCGGTGTTAATTGAATATACAAATTAATCAAAAGCTAAACTGGTTCTCTTTTGTGTATACAAAACATACAAAACTTAAAATGAGAGAAGAGACACTTCAAACGTTTCAGAAAGATAAAAAACCTGAACTATTATGCGTAAGCGCTTCTATGACACTTTTTTATGGTCAGAGAAAAATGCGGTAATCCTCATTTTAATCCGATATTAACTCCTATTGTCGAGGATAAAGTAAAATGTGGGAGGAGCTTGGTGGTATATGAATTGGTGTTGGTAATATACAATGTTAAGGTATACAAGAGCATTAACCCTAGGTATACAATGCTGTTGACAATAAAGAAGCACAGCCAACTTAGCTATGAGCGCTGTTTTAATTAAAATTAATGCGGAACTTACTTTTTAAATTTTATTAACCATTTAAATTTTTTGCAGAGGTGAAAAGTTATACGTTACAAAAGACAAGAGGGAGAAAAGTAAACGTAATAAATGCGTATGTTGGAGTTTATGCCTTATTGCCGTAGCTGCCGTTATTATCCTGGGAATTTTAGCAGCTCGTAAGTACCATCATCATAAGGTCGTCAGTCCTAAGGCTGGTTGGACATGTACCTCCACTCTTTCCTATCCTAAGCTAAACTTCGCATTTTCCTAAAAGTAGAACAGCCCACATCCTTAACTATTTGCGACCAGTAATCTAATCTAGGTCTACCTCTACCCCTCCTAACTCCTGTTTCTGCCTCTAATCGAAACCCCGAAGTCAAGTAAAAAAGATAAGGCCGGTCTGGATAATCCCGCTTATCTCGATGACGAAAACGTTAAAGTCAATAATGATGACACGATGGGTTATAGAAACGGTAACTTGAACAGTTCGCCGAAATTGGGACACGAAGATGAACCTCAAGCCGAAGCTGTGAATCTAGAATTAATTAATTTAAAACCAAACGGCAAAGACGTCACTGGGCCGTACGAAAATGGTAAAGGTATTAGTGGAATTCCTGTTAAAAAGGATAATTTTGAAAGCGGTACGCCGTACGACGAATATTTCGTTCCGGTTAATGAACATCGAAAATATATGAGGTAAGATTAATTATCACGTTAGTTTTAATTGTTACAAATTCCTTTCTCCTAACAGCAAAAGTACCACGGTATTAAATACTTTTACTGGCAATTGTTGCCATTCTTGCAACAACTGCTTGTTTAATATTTTATTTGAACGACTAATTATTTATTACTACTACCACTATTACTTTTTGACACCAAATTTCTTTATTGGTATTAATTATATTGTAATATTAGTANATTGAAACAAATATATTTATATATAAGTTTTTATCAACTTTTATTTACTGTCATATTAAATTACAAAATAGGGGGAAAAAGTTTAAAAGTGAACCCTATTACTTTTTCTTTCATGTTTATAACTATTTTCTCCCACTAAAATCCAAATGTAGTCCCCTATCATATTCTCGCTGTATTGACCTTAATAACGTTATTCGAAAGCCGTAATATCTTGATAAAAACGTTGTCCTTGTTCTTTTGAATACGCCCCCATGTTCAAAATTATCTAAATCAGCATGCAGCATACCTATGTACTTTTAGAGACATCCTGCAACCCATGGTTTTAACGTCTTCTATCAAGTTACAACTAGTTCTCGGTAATTTTCAACTTTGTTATTCCCTAAAAATCTAGAAACTACTCCATTAAAACGATTCCAACTTTTTTTGTTGAGCACTTTCTAACTTATGAATCAACAAAAATTCCAGCTTTAATCTTTGCTTCTGACAACTTTGGGAAAAAGTTGTTTAAAACCGTAAAAGCTTCAGATCATTCATCTAATTGTTTTTCGAATTGTTTCATAAGTCCTAACTTCGGGTTCAGCAATTGGTTCACATTTTACGCTTTGATTCCCAACACGAAATTCAGTTCTTAGTGGCCATGATTTTTGAATATAATGTTGAGCATCCGCTCTACTGTCCCACAAATAGAGATAACACGCATATGTTGTATATGCAGCCTGTAGAGTCTCATTAAAAATCGTACCATCATAAAATCTCCGCTGCCACTTATACTCTTGATACTTCAAAGTTTCGAGTACATTTTTGACACTTTTATAGTTTTCTTTAAAATTTACAAAATAAGCGACTGGAAAAGATGGAAATTTATTTCCGTTATGTAATAAACTGTTTTCAGGCTATTCGTCGAGCTGTTAATAAATAAACGCCACTCATTGGGAACACAGGGCATACCACTACCGTCCCACAAACCTAGATAACACGGATATTTTGGATATCCACCCTGTAGTCCCATTAAAAATCCTACCATCTTAAAATCTCCAATGAACTGCCACTTATGCTCTTGATACTTGAAAGTTTCGAGTAAATTTTTGACACTTTCCTAGTTTTCTTTCAAATGTACAGAATGAGCGACTGGAAAAGATGGAAATTTATTTCCGTTATCTAATAAAACTGCTTTCAGGCTATTATTCGAACTGTCAATAAATAAACGCCACTCACTGAAACACAGAACATTCCAATTCCTTGAAACAAACCCCTTACGTTGTTACAATGGCAAAGTTACGACCTCTTTATTTTGTCTTGGTATTTTAAAATATACCAGAACTATTTAAAGCTTTTTTTATATATGATAACTTAAAGAAAGTATTATTACCGTAACTAACACAAAAGCGAACATTATATGGAATGTAGGTATTTTTCCTTTATTTTGGAACATAATGCACAGAAAAATCATAAAATAAATTTTAGGACAGACAAAATTTCTTTTTGTAGAGTTCTGTTATTTCAAGTTTCTTAATTATTACAATTAAATTTGTAATATCAACTTAAATGCCTAGTAAATTAATTTCTGCTAGGATTTTATTTTTGCAAATTCAGGTCGAAATTGTAATTTTTATTATTTTCGCTTACGAAGCAACGGGCTAGTGGGATAAATTGTA